GAATCCGAATGCACCCCTGATGAAAATTACAGAGCAGGAAATAGAAGCCCTGAAGAAGGCATGTAAAAAAAGAGATGAAAACAGAGATGAAAGAATGAGGTCCTCCGCAGAATGAAAAAAAGAAAGATTTACGACTCTTTTTTGTGCAGTTCACGTATTTTAGGTGAGAAATGATAAAAGAAAACAATTTGTTGTGGTTAAAATCAATTCTGCAGCTTCACATCCCCTTAAATATCGAGGTTAATTAAATTGAAATTTATCAACTCTTACATAATACCCATATAAATAAAAATCAAAACCCCATCTAAAAAATAAAATGAGACCTGGATGCAGAGCCATTGTACACCGGTGTTTATCAACACATCAACGCAAAAAGTCAATTGTTTCTCAATTTCCAGTCGATCAAAAATCGCACTCAAGAAAAACTTTCTTACAATTCGCCAATTCGTCTCTTAAACAACGTTAGAGTTTGACGTTAAACAAATGGGGGAAAAAAAAAAGACAAAATTTTGAAATTTTTTGCCCGAAAGATGGGACTGTGTACACTTTATGGATTTTGGTGTGCTGATGGACATACTCCATTCTCTGCGTTGTGCACTTGATTATTTAATAGGGATCATTTCAGTTTTTTGTTTCCATGTTGACCTATAATTTTTTATCTCCAGTCGTGTCATCCATTGACACTGCATAGAACACACAATATAATCCATTGAGATTCGTGACGATGTTATTTGATTGTATAGCCTCCGCAGAAGAGAATCGGGTTGGGCACGGTCATACTGATCACTTGCCATATGACTTCTTGCCAATACCACTGATGACAATGGGAAAACACATTATAATTGAGGGTGGAAACAAAAAATTGAAATGATATGAAGGAATATCTTCCATATGATGCGCATAATTAGATATGTCCGTTGTTATTACGATTTTTCCTAAGTAAGACATTCTGAATGATGAATCAAACACAGGTGCTGATGTACGCTCATGTATATCATTACCCAGCTGAGTATCCTACCCCTGGAAAGTCTTGCCATTTGGAAAAATCGTAATGCCAATGAACATCTCCAATCACGCGCATTATATAGTAGATTATTCTTCATATCAGGCGCATGATTAATTACTAGATATGTTCATTGGCATTACGATTTTCCCAAATATGAGACTTTCAGAGGGTAGAATAGCTGGGTGGTGATGTACACTGGCGTACATAAGGATGATCATTTGGAACATGTCTTACATTTAAAACAAGTGGAGAATTGCTCTTGCTCTCTCATAGTATGGTTTTTTTTGCTAATGATGAGCAATATGCTTCCGAATGGTCATTTTGCATTGATGCTTCAATTAATTATCTATTTTTCGTATGATTTATCGTCCTTCCATAGATATGACTTATTTATTCATAGATATTTTCGTTCATTCATAGACATTCATGGTAAAGCTATGTTCACCTGAATTTATGTTCGATTCTATTTTTATTCAATCATACTTTACCTACCTCAACGTACGTCATACTTATTGATTGTCAAGATAATACATCGATGGAAGTTCTTAAATAATCATATTTGAATCAATAATATGAAAACTTGTGGGTTAATCAAATATTAATAGTGCATTCGAGGACAAGACTATCATTTCCAGTTTTTCATAAATTGGAAAATTGAAGGTCGAGCAGTCTATAATGACATCACGTGTCATATAGACGATTTATCTCCCCAAAAAATTGTCGAAGTATCATCATTCCATCAGATGAATCCTCATTTAGATCAATCCTCTGCTGTCTTATTCGAATTTTTTTATCCAAATTACTTTTCAGAATCAGTTATTGAACGCAATGAAGAATAGAACCCGCCTTATTTGATAATTTGATGCGACCTCGTCGTTTAGTCTTGTATGAAGATGCACAAACACCCTCGTATTTCTCCGATGATGTAATACCTTCCCTGGATTGATTCGCCTCCAGAACTCCCCCAAACTCTTTTCAATTCGCACCATTTTAGGAGATGACAAAAAAAAACTTTGAGAAGAAAATATCATTTCATATCAATTTTATTGTCCCATCAAAAGCATCTAAATTTTCTATCAATTTTACTGGAATAATATGAAAATAGATAACATTTTATTTGAATATAATCGCATGAATCCAAAACATCACAGTTGGAAGAATCATCAAAAAGCAACTATTCACTTATAACACCACAAGAGCTTCGAAATTATTGGATATTTCCCGATGGGTTCATTGCAAACAAATGAGCGTGTCAAGTTTTCCAGGTAAAAAAATCACGAGCGCGCAGCGCGAGTGATTTTTCTGGAAAACTTGACGAGCTCATTTGTATGCAGGGAATCCTGAGGGAAATATCCGATTAATTTCGAAGCTCGAGTGGTATTCGGGGGATTATTTTTACCATTCAAATCTCGAGTAATAGAATTATGCCATGAGACAACGGAAATCCGATCGAGGCTGAAGGTGGCTGAATGATCTCTTTTGTTCCATATATATATTAAAGCACAAAATTATCAAAAAATTATCAGTTTGAAACCGTGTAGTTTATCCCGCGTGATATCGAATGGCGCAATTCTATTGGTCGAGGTTTGATTGGTAAAAATAATCACAAAAATTTATGAAAATTGAGAAATTTCTGGAAATTATTCTCGAAAATCCAATCTACCGTGGCAGTGATGATAACCACAGTCGACCTTCCTCTTAGTCGTATCGAACTCAACATAATAAGCTACGATCGAACTCATTCGAAGCATACTATCCAACGTTTTTTTGTAGAATTTGGATTTTTGAAAAAATATGATTTTTTGGCAGAATATTACAAACATAAAAAAAAACTATAATTGCTATCACCTCCATCTTCGAACTCGGTCAAAAGGGCATCGAAGCGGAGATTTTGAGCCGTCATTCAATTGATTAGATTTTTTTTTAGCTATCGCATAAAAACCGAATTTCGAAAAAATACAAAAATAAAGAATATGAATGAGTGAATTAAAATTCAATTGTTGGGGATAAATAGGGATCTATAATACCTTCATTTGAGGAAGAAAATTATTCAATTCCAGCAATTTATCAGGGCGAAATTTTCGAAAAAAAATTTACCAAAAATTACCACACACATAACTACATACTACAAACAGACAGACACGGTCTAAAAACTGCATTTTCGGACTCCTTGAGTCATGATAAGTTGTTATAAGACAAAAAATCGGAAACATAAATTTGGTCGATTACAAAGCTTCCATTCGGAAGCAAAAATCGTCATAACAATGGACATATCAATTATGCGCTTATATTGTAGATTATTCCTCCATATCTTGTCGTTTTTTTTGTTTCCACCCTCAGTTATAATTTTTTTTTCTCATTGTCATCAGTGCTATTGGCAAGGAGTCATATGGCTGATCAGTATGACCGTGCCCTCTTCCGCGGAGGCTATCGAATCAAAGAACATCACGATGAATCCGAATGGATTACATTGTGTGCTCCATGCAGGATATTATGTCATTGGGAATAAGACCATTTTTTTTTTCACTTTGTGCAGTAGAAAAGTTTAGAGCTCTCAGTGGCGTCACCGGTGTCAACGGATATGGCACGGCTGAAGATAAAAAATTATAACTCAACATGGAAATAAAAAATTGAAATGATCCCTATTAAATAATCAAGTGTACAACGCAGATAATGGAATATGCCCATTGTGATCATGATGTTATAAACTGCAAGAGACATTCCTGATGAATCAAACACAGGTGTTGATAAACGCTAATGTATATCATCGCCCACCTGAGTATTCTACCCCCGGAATGTCTGACGTTTGGAAAAATCGTAATGCCAATGAGCATATCTAATAATTCATTATTAGATATGCTTATTGGCATTACGATTTTTCTAAATGTCAGACTTTCCGAGGGCAGAATACTCAGCTGAGTGATAATGGCCACTCGCGTACATCAGCAGCTGTGTTTGACTTATCATCGGGAATATCGGTTGCATTTCAAAACATTGTAATAACAATGGACATATTCCATTCTCTGCATTGTACACTTTTCATTAAATGAAGATCATTTCAGTTTTTTGTTTCCATGTTGAGTTATAATTTTTTATCTTCAGCCGTGTCATATCCGTTGACACTGCTGATGCCACAAAGTGCTCTAAACTTTTCTACTGCACAAAGTGAAACAAAAAAAATGGTCTTATTCCTAATGACATAATATTCTGCATGGAGCACACAATATAATCCAGTCGGATTCATCGTGATGTTCTTTGATTCAATAGCCTCCGCTGAAGAGAATCGGGTTGGGCACGGTCATACTGATCAGCCATATGAGTTCTTGTCAATAGCACTGATGACAATGGGACAAAAAATTATAACTGAGCGTGAAAACAAAAAAAAACGAAATAATATGAATAATCTACAATATAAGCGCATAATTAATATGTCAATTGTTACGCCGATTTTTTAAAAATGTAAGATATGTTCCGAATGATGAATCAATCGCAGGTGCTGATGTACGCCAGTGCACATCACCCCATCCCCCCCCATATATTCTACCCTCGGAAAATCTCATATTTGGGAAAATCGCAATGCCAATGAACATATGTAATAATTAATTATGCGTGTGATATGAAGGAAGGATCTACTATATAATGCGCGTGATTAGAGATGTTTATTGGCATTACGATTTTTTCAAATGTAAAACTTTCCGGGGCAGAATATTCTGCTGAGTGATGATGTACACTGGCGTACATCAGCACTTGTGCTTCTTTTATTCGGATAGCGCATTTTCAGGCACGTCTTTCCCAGTAGACTGGCGTACATCATCAGCTGCGATTGACTCACGAATATCTCTTGCATTTCAGAAAATCTTAATAACAATGGACATATCTAATTATGCGCATTATATCATACACCATTTCGGATGAATAAATCAATTAAAAAATGAATAAAATAGATATTATGAAACACACTTTTTGAGATTTTTATTTCTTAGTCTGTGTACCATTTCAATAGTACTAGTTGATACATAAAATTTCTAGACATCCATTTTCGTTTCATAGCATCATTTCTAGACATAGCATTTTCGTTTCAAAATGCAAGGACGCGTTGACGTTCGAACTTCTCCAGTGAGTTCTTCCGTCCCCATCCGGGAATTTGGATGTCGTCTTAGACCCTTCTTCTTTGTAGATTTATTTCCAATCTTGGTTTTAGCCTTCCTACGAACCGCTGGCTCTGCCGGAACTTCAGGAGCTGCATCTTCACCCTTGGTGCTACCCTCGCCACCAGCTGGCTCTTCAACATCAGTCAGCATCTGCTCAAACTCCATATCAGAGTCCCTGTCAGACTCAGCAACACTGCCCTCAGCCCCGTTCATCTCAGTTTCCTCGTTTGCGTTTTTCCAGCTTGATCTTCAATGTTGATACCTTCGACGCTTTTTTACCCTTTTTGGCCCTCGATCCGCGTGACTTCCTTTTGCGATTACTGTCCTCATCCTCCTCTTCATCATCGTCAACTTCCTCGACAGGAGCTCCACGATTCAATCTGGCACTTCTGTTCTCCTCTTCAGCATTTAACATACAGACTTGATTGTCGGGTTGAGTATAAGGATTTAGCACCAGGAAGTCACGCCATTTGGCTGCCACCAACATCATCAGCCTGGACATCGTAACTTTCAGGTTTGCTTCAGCTAGTGCTGGTCTCACGTGCTGTTGGAACAGTTTGTAGAGCATTAGATTTCGGAAATCAGAGTCTGTGTACTCAATTAGAACATCTGTCAGGCCAAATTTACTGCAAACGTCCTCAATCGTGGGCATTCCAGTTGCTAGGTCATGAGCTAGTGTTGTCGAAGTATTGTGACTTGACGATTTTCTTGAGGACGATTGTCTACTGTTACGATTGCTGGCATAAGCACTGTCCTCACCGCCACCATCGACAGCCTCACCACCACCACCTCCATAATCACGCTTACCTCCAGAGTCTGATTTTTTCTTCTTTTTCTTCTTCTTTCCCATTTCATCCTTACTCCTAGCTTTTCGCTTTTTTCCCTCCTTCTTTTTACGCTTTTCGGGCTCGTAATCATCATCTTCCTGCAGGGAACAACCATCGGTTTTAGTATTCTAGGAGTTCAATGGAGATTTAATATTGCATGTGTATCCACGTGAATTGGGCGGACTTTTTCGCATGCTGTTTCCAAAATATTCACGAAAATCATGGAAATCCTGACTTTGTGAACCCTTTTCATGTAGACGTATTACGATACAAGTGAAAACAAGTTTTTGACGAGGGTGAAGCGTGCGAAAAAGTACCCTTTTTCGTCACTTGTATCATACAATTCTGCAAAGGGCCATCATAACCCTTGTCTATAGGAATTTGCGAATCGTGTTTTTTCATACAATCGCCAATTTTCATTTATGAAACTGCTCCATTGAATCGATTATTGCATTGTGCACTCAATGAAGTAGTTTTCACAAACAAAAACCTATTTGTTTGAACCCTCAGTACGGCCGATAATTTTTACGTGGACACGTCCGTTTAGCTCTTGTGTAAGGATCCGTTGATGTTTTCAGAAAAGTCAAGAAATTTATAGAGAAGTCTCGAATGTTGCACAAAAGTCTCGAATATTCTAGAAAAGTCTCCAATATTCTAAAAAAAGTTTCGAATATTCTAGAAAAGTCTAGAACATTCTAGAAAAGTCTAGAACATTCTAGAAAAGTCTAGAATATTCTAGAATTTTTTGAAAGATGTTCACACATCTGCCGACAGATGGCATTTGAATCTAGTGTACCGTCACAGAATGACCCCCTGGACCGAAAATATAGACGTGTCGTATAATAATGGAACATAAACGATGAATATTTTTAATCTTACATCGCCATGAGCAGGTGATCTTTGTGAGGAATCAAGAGGATTCTTGGAGTTTCCTCCTCCAATCTCAGAATTCCCTGTTTTCCCTTGACTCTCCTTATCGGATGGGACGTTATCGGTTGTCTTAATCTCCTCATCATCCTCTGCGCTTCCATTATTGGGTCCCTTGTCCTTTGACGACTGAAAATAATAACAAAATGACACATTCTATGAGCAAATTCAAAATTCGCTTCAAGATCAAAGTTCAGGAACCATTGTGTAATCATCACACTGTGTAAATCATCAAGCAGCTGAGGATATACACCAGTGTCTATCACGCTTTCAAGGGAGGATATGCTAACTTAACGTACACCTAAGAGTGAAACAAATATTTCAGACCATTTAAAATGAAGTTATCGTTCACTTTGACATACAAACATGATAGGAAGAATGTTAGATTCAAAATTCGAATGAAAATCTAATTTCAGGAACCAGTGTGTATGATTCAGGTGATGGTATACATCAGTGTATGTCATTACATTAAAGAGGATGACTATTTTTAATCGTACATTGTCATCAGCAGGTAATCTTTGTAGGAAATCAAGAGGATTCTTGGAGTTTTCTCCTCCAATCTCAGAATTCCCTGTTTTCTCTTGACTCTCCGTATCGGATGGGACGTTATCGGTTGTCTTAATCTCCTCATCATCCTCTGCGCTTCCATTATTGGGTCCCTTGTCCTTTGACGACTGAAAATAATAACAAAATGACACATTCTATGAGCAAATTCAAAATTCACTTCAAGATCAAAGTTCAGGAACAATTGTGTAATCATCACACTGTCTATATCATCAGTCAGCTGAAGATATACACCAGCGTCTATCACTATTTCAAGGGAGGATAAGCTAACCTAAAGTACACCTAAGAGTGAAACAGATTTTTCAGACGATTTAACGTAAAGTTATTGTTCACTCTGACATACGAACATGAGATAAAGAACATTAGAGTGAAAAATTCTAAACAAAATCAAATTTTAGGAACCAGTGTGTAGATTCAGGTGATGGTATACACCAGTGTATGTCATTACATTAAAGAGGATGACTATTTTTAATCGTACATTGTCATCAGCAGGTAATCTTTGTAGGAAATCAAGAGGATTCTTGGAGTTTTCTCCTCCAATCTCAGAATTCCCTGTTTTCTCTTGACTCTCCGTATCGGATGGGACGTTATCGGTTGTCTTAATCTCCTCATCATCCTCTGCGCTTCCATTATTGGGTCCCTTGTCCTTTGACGACTGAAAATAATAACAAGTGCGATTGTTGAGAATGTCTAACTCAAAAACGGGATCGCAAAAATCTAAATTATTCCTTTTTTCATTATCATAGGTATAGTTTGTTAAATAATTGGAATGTGGGAATTGAATGTTGATGGTTTGAATAAATTTCCTGGTAGAGGGAACGAAAAGGTGTTGATATACACTAGTGTTGATCACTATTGTCAGGGAGGAAATGCTAACGTACTGTGCACTCAAGTGTGAAACAGATTTTTCCAACGATTTAAAGCGAAGTCATTATTGACTTCCATATACGGACATGGGAGAAAGATTTCTTTAGATTCAAAATTCGGGGAGGACTGTGTATCAATGGGGTGATGATATACACCAGTGTCTATCGCTAGTTCAAGGGAGGAGATGTTAACGTAACGTGCTCCTGAGTGTGAAACAGATTTTTCAGATGACTTAAAGTGAATTTGTTGGTAACCCTGACATACGGAAAAGCGAGGAAGAAATATAATGAATATTCTCCGACTCACATTTCTAGTCTTCCCAACTTCAGGTTTTCGGGAGACTTTTTCAGTAGATGATTCCCTCGAAATTGACTCAACAGAATCGTATTTCACAAACAATCTACTCGGGTATCCTCGTGACTTTGGAGTGCTGCGTTCCTTGACAGAGGATGACGAAGGTTCGTTCCTTGCCCCATTTTTACTTTCAGCCATTTTTGTCGTTCTCCGTCTTTTCTCAGGTTAGTAGATATATAGGGGCGGTTCTGGCCCAACCATTTTGGGAAGGGTCTGAGGATGCGCCGCGAGTGGGTGGTGGGATGGGATTAATTAATTCGCGCTTTAATTCGCGGTTTTGATTCGCGGTTTTAATTCGCGGTTTTAATTCGCGGATTTTACATTTCGTCGATTCTGGGTGCAAGAAGTATGGGAGAAGCCCCCGCGAGTGGGTGGTGGGATTAATCAAGTCACGGCTGTAATTCACGGTTTTCAGCCCCGATTTTAATTCGCGGTTTTCAGTCCCGATTTTGATCCACGGTTTTAATTCGCGCTTTGGTGGGATTAATTAATTCGCGGTTTTAATTCGCGGTTAGAATTCACGGTTTTAATTCGCGGTCTTAATTCGCGCTTTAATTCGCGGTTTTAATTCGTG